TTTTCCAATTGGTCACTCCAATTGGAAATATATATTCCAGTTGGTATTAATCAACCAATTGGCAATTCCAATTGGAAATACATTTTCCAATTGGTATTAAGCAACCAATTGGGAGAGTTATCCCAATTGGATTCTTGGAGACTGGAGCTCTAGAGTAATCTTACAGTGAAAGATTGTGAGCTTACTCTTCTGAATCAAAAATAAACTCTAGGATAAAATATGGAATTTTTTTCAAGGGTGCAAGGAACGTCAACAAAAGAATCTGCTCACTGACCACCTCATTACATGTGATGCAACTCATATTACACTTATTCATTTTTTGTTGTCCTCTCTGCGTTCTCTCTCTCTCTACCTATCTATATATATATATATATATATATGTATAAATAAATAGTTCATTTATTTATATATATGTATATATGTATAAATAAATAGTTCAAAAGGATAGCAAACCGCCTAAACGCTCGGGTGGTTTTTTCTGCACCCGAAAAACTTGCCAAGTTGTGCAAAATGACGGACCCTTACCGCAAACCACCGGTTGGCTGCGTGAAGAAGCATCGCAGCCCATTTGTAGATTGCGCAGAAGGCGTCGTTTATGAGATCCCGCTGACGTGCGGTAAAAAGTATGTTGGACAGACGGGAAAATGTCTAAATGACAGATTGCGCGAGCACAACCTAAAAGTGAGCGGACAGCGTGACGGTCATTTGTCGATGCACTGCCATGACTATGGGTGCAAACCTGAATTTAATTTGTGCACTGTCATTAGAAAACATAGAGATAAGACGGTAAGGGAAATTATAGAGGCGGACCTGATAAGAAACTACGGGGATCGATGTGTCAGCGTGGCGTCGATCGATTTGGCAGACAAAGAGATACAGTTCTTGCAATCAGTGGCGTGGCTTGGGATTGGTTGAATGGCGCGATGATGCAGAGTATTTATACCTTTGATTTTCTGACGATTAAACCAGTTGAAGTTAGCGCATTGTGTTGTCTCGTTCCTACCCTTCGTCCCTGTCGTGAAGCGCTATTATGTTCTCCAAGTTTCAGTACCAACTCGCCCAAGAATCCGCATTACTCAAGTTCATTATTAATCTTATGGCTTTTCGATTTAGCAATTTTTTTTTGTTTTACTTCTAGTTTCGGTTTGAAAGTTAGAACGCCCCATTGCTAGTGACACCAATAGGCGTTTGTTTTTTCTGGGAACACGTGTGTGGGATGCGAGTAGGAGGATATGAAAATGTGACATTTTCATCAAGTTTACCAACATTTCACACGTCTTGTTTCAATCAATGTGTCCAAGAAAAGCCTGGGGGAACCGCAACCATGCTGAAGCCAGAGCCGTATATGGGGAGAGTTTGGTCAGTCTATGATCTCGCCGCCGTAACGCTCTCCTCCCAAGTGAGCCAATCAAGACGCGGCGTAGAGCGAGAGGCATGAGCGCAGGCGCGTGAACTCCCGGCTGCTCCCACCCCTCCCACCTGAGTGGGGAGGGCCGCCATCTTCGATCATTCTCCCGGCGGAATGGGTGGGATCGGCATCTAAATCTAGATTATTGCCTTTTATATCGCTGGCTCTGGCAAGAAAATGACATTCTGTTATTCCTTGGTGGGTTAAAAAGCTAATAAATGAAGATTTTTCAGCGTATGGCCACAAACTTTTATTCAGGCAAAAAAGAAGTCGGCCTGTAGCAGACGACGCGTAGCCTCAGCAGCGCTCTTCTCCGACCAGTCTCCGACAGCGTTGCTAAAAAATGGCGATCGTCTCCTCTCTGCTCCCTTCTTTCTCTCTCACTCCTTCGGCGCTCTCCTCTCTTTCATTCACTTTTCTCCCCTCCGGCGCCTTCGTCGCCACACCCACTGGCCAAACTCTCCCAATATACGGCTCTGGCTGGGGTGAACCAGCAACTCCGTCCCGTGGCAGCTGCGGTGAGTGGGATTTTGCTCTTTGTCCTTCAGACTCTTGAAGCAAGTTCTGAATATTTTCACGGTCAACCGTGTTTGCTAAAGTGTTCTTATAGCCAAGTTTGCTTGTTCTACCTGCTTTTATGTTTGGAACTGTTGCCGCACGTCCGCGTTACGGGAAACGTTTGCCGTGCAGTACACACATCGCATTGTAAAACACTTTCCATTGTAGCAAAGTTTTCTAGTGCCTCACTATTTCCTCATTCAGTATTTGAGCCTTCAATATATTTCCTGTTTTTCTTTAGGTTGCTCCTAACACCCTTTTTATTGCCACGTGTTGCTTGCAATATCTGTAAATTATTAAATGCTTCCATTGTGCAGAATGCAGCTAGCATGCTATCATAAATATTCCTTTGAATTCGGGCAGCTGTGAGAATAAAGCTAGCTCTGTTCTCATTGCAATCAAGGGCATGTTAGCTTCACACATGCAAATAATGACAATTGTATCCTTTCCGAGATCCAGTGTGCACAGAACGAATAGTTCTTTGCAGTCAAAATTGTTGAAAAGAATGGTCGCACTGCAAAGCCTTAAGCTCCCTCTGGCTCCGAGGCAAAGCACCGGCCTACGGATGCCCAGGTGGCGGGTCCGAATCCCGGCCGAGGTGCCCGCAATTTGATGGAGGCCTATTGCAGAGAAGGCTCCGTGTGACCGAGCTTTCGGTTGCACGTCAAAAAATGCCAAGATAGTCTAAATTAATCCTCAGACCTCCGCTGGGGTGTGCCAGATGCCCGTCGTTGGTTGGCATGTAAAACCCCCAAATTTGACTGACTGCCAAGCTTTGGATCCCCTCTCAGCTGATAACAACATATTAAATTTCTCACTTGGTATGTAAAAAAAGACTAATTTTGATGTAGAAACTTAAGATGGCAGAAAACTAACAAATTGAATGGACAACACACAACTCTCTGCTGCCAGGTGTTAAGACTTGTGAGCCGTTTATCCTTTTTAAAATTTTCGACAAGCCTTGGATCACTATCATAATTCAGAAGCCCATACTAACTGAAGCCTTATTATTATCTAGCTTTCATTGATTTCTCTGCTTTCATGTTTTACCTCTGTCATGATACCGACTGGCACTCCTGCTAGAAGGTAACGGCCTAACTTATTGCATATTGATAAACTAAATGAGTGCTTTCCTTCTAGTGTTCTTTCTCTTTTGCTCAGACGAAGTAAAGTGCAGTTACTGAACAATTTGTTTAAAATGTCTGTTTTCGAATGCACAATTTCTTGATATAAAAAAATTCACAAATGCAAGCTAGGCATCTTCAAACTCGTAAATAATGTGCCCTTCAAGTAGCTTGAGGTCCCATGTCACGCTGCTTAGATGGATATACTAGTATCATAGGACATTGGTGATGTGACACAGCTTGGAAAAGAATAGGAACACTGGATCTCAGTCGTTCCTCAGTTGCTAATTTCTGTCGCCTGTTTTCGTTCTAGGCTGCGAGCTGCTGCTACTGACACTGCTCAAGAGGAGGATGCAACCATGGACGACCATTAGTTTGAACACTTTAAAAATTTTCTTTTGCTTCTACCGGAACTAGGTGACAATTCCTGCTAGACGCTATGACATCACTGCGGAAGGAACGCTAAACAAACGCTCAATGACGTCCTAGCGTCTCTCAGGAATCGTCCTATTTTCGGTAGAAGTGAGAAGAAAAATAATTTTTGGTCCGAACTGGGTTTTAGTGTTTCCTTTTCTATTGTAATAAATGTGCTCCTTTTAATTTTGCTTGTTTCTTATATTTTGCAAAGGTATCTGGCACCATTTAGTGTGACTGCAAAAAACTCATAAAAAACTAGAAAAGGTGCGTTTTCTAAAATAATGTATTATTTCAGAACAGGCTTCAAATGTTTTGTATATAGTAAAACCCTATTTGTTAGGAACATATCCAGCTGGCATATCTAGACATACTTATGTGAGACATGCTCAATTAAAAATTTAATTTGGGAGTCCTACCTTTGGCTGCGTAAATTGCTAATGCATCAGAAAACCAATTTCTCTTGCTAGCTATATTTCTAATTGTTTATAGTTTGAATTAGAAATGTACAAACTGGCTGTTTTCTAATGGGTATTTCTCCAATGGGGCGTTCCAAAACACAGTCGGTCACGATTCTAATTGGAAAAAAACCAATTGGTATATTTCCAATCGGGCGTTCCAAAACACAGTTGGTCATGGTGCCAGTTGGAAAAAAGCCAATTGGTAATATTGAACCAATTGGCATTTGTTCCAACGGGGCGTTCCAAAACACAACTGGTTTTGGCAACTGGTACCAATTGGAAAATCCAATTGGACCCAATGGGTATTTTTAACTGGGCCTGCTTCTTCGAGCAACCCCCTTGCCCCGCGAGTGCCGCTTGCGGCTCGCGCCGTTATCTAGCGCCGCACAGGGAAGCGTGCTCGCTGGCTCGCTGCACTGGTCAGTCGGCACGGCCACCTGGCTGTTCCGGAAGCCGCACTATAACCGGTATTTCCCTTCGCGCGCCTGCATTTTAAGCGGTATGTAAATACATGGAGTTCTATGGAAGGCGAACTGGTGGTTTAAAAAAGCCGCGTTATACCCAGTCCTGCACTATAAGCGGCTACATTGTAAGTGGTCTATACTGTACTACGGTACTACACTGTACGATGGTAACCATTTGACCGCATGGCAGCCATTTTCAATCCATGGTCATGTTGCGTTCTTGCGCGCATGCAGACGTTTGCCGAATTTTTACGAATCTTTGCCGAACTTTCCTTCAAAAGTTCGGCATGCGTTGAACTTTGCCGCATCTGAACTTCGGCAGATTTTATCCATCACCAATAGTCGCGGACAGGATCAAAATGGCAGAGATAAGTTTCAGTTGCCCCGCCCCCAGTGTGAGCTTCCGTTATTCAATAATGCTTCAACAATTTGAGAGCCTCAAGTGTGGATGCCACCATTCTATTCCAGTTGGTTACTAAAGTCACAAATGGGCTAAAATGGCTGGATGCGCTCGTGTTTTGCTCGCCTTCGTCAGTTTATTTCCTCACGTTTCTCGGCGGCTGGCACTCACCATCCGCGGCTGCAAAGTCCGACTCCGGTGGCGTGATGTCGTCCTCCGCCTCCTGGCAGGAAAGATCCGCGAGCGGAACTGTGTTGTTGCAGCACAGCTTCAGTTCCTGGTCGATGGCCCGCGTCCACTCTGGAGTCTTGAGGGTGACCGCAACGCGATGTCCATCCACCTGAATCAAAAGGAACAGTTCATCTCAGCTAGAGATCTGCACCGGCCGATATCTAGAAGCCCGGCCCAGCTTGGCCCGCGGCCTGCCATCCATTTCTGACAGCCAACCCGGCCCGGCCCCGGCCGATGCTAATTTTCGTGGGCCCGTCGAGGCCCCTTCTATTTTCGCCCAGTATGAATAGCTCACAAATCGGGCGACATGGCAGCTCGCTTGCAACTGCTACACACAATGACTATGGTACCCGATAGTCAACGCAGTAGGCATCCTATTATGGCGATAGCTGTGTTATGGGTTTTTCCCACCACTGGAAATGACGTCGGTCGTTGATGTTGTAGTTGGCGGTGAGGTGTGTCTGTTGTCGATGTTGCAAAATCCTAGAAAAAGATGGCTCTCCGTTTGCGGAAATTAAACCTGGGTCTGCTGCATGCGAGGTGGAGACATTACCACTGAGCTACATCACAGCGTTAATGCCCCGCTCTATACTTTGGGTTTTTGTAGTACCCAATGTTCACTGCAAGGGCTCTCTCTAGAAAAAATATAACGGATAACAAAATGCTGTTGCAACACTGTCAATGCCAAGAGCTCATGCCAGGACGCGTTCATGCGCTCCGGAACCAAAAAAAGAAACAAAAGCATTCGGAACAGAATGTTCAGATGTTTCTTTTGTTCCGAACGCTTTTGTTCACGCACCCCACGGTGCGTTAACATGATGCCGATGCCCAACGACAGTGCCGTGACGTGCTGCAGCTGTAGTTGTGACTCTACTGTGTTTTTTTTCTTTCTTTTGCTGCTATTATTAGTCAGACAAATCTGTTGGCCTAGGTAGATCGTTGAAAAACAGATCACCTCCATCGTCCTTTTTTTTGCGACCAAACCCGCACATTGAAAAAGACGTAAAAATAAAAACGGCAAGCAAGAGAAAGCAAAACCACACGCCGAAGTTGAAAAAGAGAGAAAACGTCGCAATGAGTCCCTAAAAAAAAAAAAAAGACGGGTAAGGTTTTTATTCCCACTGTGTACAACCGAAAAACACCGTCTCTTGCAGCGGTCTGCGAGAAATTGAGAAATTGTTTAGGACAGCACCCTGAGGGGTACCTCTTCACTCCTATTTTGGATGCACACACTAGTACAACAGATGATTTATGCCAGCAGGAGTGTGCATTGCGTAGACGCGTATGTGTACGTGTTGATGGGAAGAAGCAACTGCACAAAAAATGAGCCGTGAACTCGCCCCATTTTGAAGATTGTCTTTTGATTCTGGCCGTTCCTAAGACAAGAGACGCGGTGAACACTGACATGGCAACGTCTTGCTACTACGAGACTCCAAGCGGATTTTCTTGGCTCGATCGGCCAAGCATTCATGGCATGTTACCTGTAGCTTAAAAACAAGTCTTCGAAAGCCTCCAAGTCACTCCAGCTCAAATCGAAATAAAGCAGCTGCTCACGAAGTATGCTTGCCTGCATTCGTCTCAGTTTCGGCATAATTGAAGGCCTAAATCCTTGGCGACAGATGGTCAACACGGCACGAGAATGAGCGCCAAATTAGAGCGCTACCAGTTTTGGCTGTAAACAGCTAACAATATTTATACCGATTTAAGATTTCTTTTGTTTTTTAGCCAGGATAGGTTAATTTGTTTTACCTTAATTATTATATGTAAGCAAAAGGCACTCATTATGCGCACATGTTTTACATTCTTTAATAATTTTCCATTTTGAATATTACGCATGTTAGCTGCATTGGCGCCATGTTGCGAAAATCCTATCCTATAAGATTGGGTGCCCTTAAGAAATTGGGGTTCCTCTATTCTAAAACTCTCTTATGACATGCCGTGACATTTGTGCCTCATTTGTCGCATGCAGAGCTACCCTTAATTCAAACTAAATGTCAAGCTTCATACGAAGCACAGTAACTCGCAGCGTAAAGCCTGGTTCAGACAACTGTGTTACAGTTATATTGAAAGTGATAGCAATGACAGTCACCAGGACAAGTGACCCCCACACACACAATGTGACAAGCAATGCAAGAGATAGCTTTGTCAAGCAATCACGAGTCACGGTTGCCTCGGCGTTCCAGCCATTGCTGTCGTTTTGGTTGCTGTGAACGCAACCGACGCAGATGTGCGAACCAGCCTTAAGCTCCCTGAACATAACGCAACATAAGCAGGGTGGACGGCTAAAACAGGTTCTGTAGCATTTTTCGGGGCAGAAAAATCGGTGTTCTGGTACAGCTTAGGAGCAGAAAATCCATATTTATGAGCAGCTTAGCAGCAGAAAAATTCACCTTTTGGAGCAACCTAGGGATAAAAGAAAAATTTGAAGCAGCTTACTTAATTCACCCTGTCAGTTTCACACCACAGAAGTCCTAGGAAAAACACGTGTCGCTACAAAACCCAAAGTAAAACATGCGCTGCTATGAAAACTCGTTGGACTGGGAGATATAGGAAAATAAATATTGTAGGTATTCGAGAAAAGTTAAAGCAGCCCGTGCACACTGCAGTGAACTCGATCGCTATACTTGATGTGAAAGATTGTAGCACGTCTGCAGAATAAACTTCTCATAACAGCGGCGCTGTCATCTTGGCAAGTAGCAGAATTTAACGGTAGTTTTGCGAAAGTTTTACACTCTGGATTAAAGAAAGACTTCTGCTTTCTCATCTCAAGTGTGCCAAGACCACCAAGGCCCATAGCTTCAGCTTGAAAGTAGTTGTGGACAACAGAAGTTAGGAAGCCCGCTCAAGATGAATAAGCGCGCAAGGGGCAATTGGAAAAAATCAAAAATGGCTGTATTATTGATGGCATCAATGGTCCCCAATAAACGCAATAAATAGATAATAGGAGCTCCAACCTTTTTTAACGGGTGGTAACTTGCGCCACTTAGCCTAAAACAAGAGTAACTAAAGGTCGCCAACAGAATTGTTATGTTTCACTAAATGTAGTGGCCTTGCGCATTCCAGTAGGTTTTGAGGTATTTTGGTGCCGTTTAGCGCAATCTTGGACAATTTAATGTTTTTGGTGCAACCAGGCGCAAAGTAGTTTGTGTGTATCAAAATGGCGCAATTCGCACAGCTGTCTCACCTCTGCGAACGGTAATGTTTGAAGAGGCCTTTAGGCTCTACCCTCTTTAGACATAAATAGCTATGTCCCCTTAGCCAGCGGCAGACAAGTTCTCACCTCCGTTCCAGACAGCTGAATGGCTGCCAGGGCGCTCTGCCCCTCCGAGAAGGTCACCCAGAGCATTTCGGCCACAAACCTGAGTCAAGAAACAACGTCCGTTCGTCAATCCCCCCGTCCAATAACTGACCCGAATGGCGGAGAGGCAGCGATGTACCTCACCTGATGAGGACGACCTCCCCGAATGATGAGAAGGCGTGGACAAGAGCGGAGAGGAAGTGGTCGTCGAAGGAGCCGCCTTCCTCGTCAACGCGCACCACCACCGTGCCGTCTGGAGGCCCCATCACCTCGATGACCTCCTGGAAGGTCTGCTCCCGGACCGCTTCGTCTACGCGGCACACCTCAATGTCGATGTCCGCAACCACTGGCCTGGAAGGGTGCCACATCTGGTTACGTGCGGGACTTGACACAGAAGCAAGAAAAGTAAGGACAATGCAATGACTCCTGCAAAGGAGACACCTAGGCAAAACAAAAAAATTGGTCGATGCTTTGGTATATTCCAAAGACACTCTAAATTAATAGCACCTATATATCTTTTGTGGTGCCATGGCGTTGTGCCTCGTCATGTGATGTCACGTGACCACCAGGAAAGCACGTGGTCAAGTGACCTCGCATCACGCGATCAGCAGAAAAGCATGTGGTCATCACCGTGATGTCAGCTCACGCAACGTCGGTGTCACGGTGTTGTGTGACGTCATGGTGCTATGCAATGTCACATCATGGTGTAACCTAATGTGACACTACGTCATGGTGTAACCTATTGTGACGTTACGTCATGGTGTAACCTGATGTGACATCAACTCATTATGTCACCTGACATCACGATGTCCCGTGATGTCCCTGTGAAGTGACATCAGCGTGACGTCACTATTGAGGCTACATCCCGGGCGGAGACATGAAAACCCTAAGTGCTGAGTTCTGAAAAATTGAGGATCTGCATGTTTGGAAATCTTAGCAAAACTCTTAAGAAACTGAACAAACTGCAGAGTGTGCCGGTGGTCGCAAGTTTCGAAAGAGGACAACAGCATATCTTTCAAAGGGATGCAGATTGCATCCCATTTGCTTTGCATGTTTACTATTTCTTCATGACTTGGGTACTCCCCACAAAACCTCAAAAGGATGCAGATTTCATCCAATTTGCTTTGCATGTTTACTATTTCTTTGTGACTTGGGCTCTCAGCTGACTGTTTACTATTTCTTCGTGACCAAAAACTCTCAGCTGACTGCCTTGAGAACATTGCCCCCTTACTTTATGTTGTCAATACGAATCAAAGAGTGCTTAACGGTATTCAAGCAAACTGCTGTATACCTGCTACCCCTAGATTTATAGTGGAAGATAGAAAAGTCCGGTAGCAAGACCGTCCACCCACGCGTTGAAGGTAAGCCATACACACCAAGAAAGAAGTCGCAACATACCTGTGGTCCGACGTCTTTAGCTCCGCCCTTCCATAGTGTGCTATCCGTCCCGGACTCCAGAAGGGATCATCTAAAAACAGTGAGCCAAAAAAGTCCCTGTTTTTTAGGTGTTTCCAAGTAACCTACAACATTATAAAAAATGCAAGCCCCGAAACAAACTAGTATAGATTTAAGATATTGAGCTAAGTCTAAATGAATGTTGTAAGGCACCATACAATACACATAAAAGAATACTCAATCATAAAAATGTTGCTGCTGCAGCACAGTGAGCTTTCTTTCTAAAGGCAGACATATGCTCTACAGTTATTCTAATATAAGCTATTAACCAAATTACTCGTGCAACAATAAATAACAAAATGAAAGTCATAGTAAAAAAAAATAAATCACTTGATTTCACACAACGTGGACCGGAGGGCTCAAAAACAGGTTTATACCTGTCGGTGTGCTGTGAGTTATTATACATGATTTTTCACCACCATCTCAAATACAGGAAGATATAGTTTAACACAACTTGTAGTTTGGCTAGGTAGTGCATGATGCTTAGGAAACTTGAAAGCCCAAACAGAGATAGGCACAAAGAAGGGGAGACAGAAGCGCTAGTCTGTGTCCCCTTCTTCAAGTTCGTCCGCTTGTGCATTCACGATCCCTGCACAACAAGATACTTATGCAGTGCCACACAAGTATGAAACTAACTCTCACCGGCCTCGGAGAAGAGCCGCCTCCTCCTGAAGAGGATGCGGTCCGTCCAGGCCGGGATCCGACACTTGTCGCTCGTGTCGTAGTCGTCCGAGAACAGGTCGTACTTGTACGTTGGGGCAAAGTTGATCTCCCCCTCCAGGAAGTTCTTGAACACCTGTGCATGCACCGAACGCCCGCCAAATATGGCTCATTCCCAAAACACAGAAAATGTTGGCCTTTCAGAACACAACGCACAGATGTGATTGGAGCACTATGAGAAGATGACCTTGCGATGACGCAACTCACTGCCATCTGTATAGTTCCCTTCCTGAAATTCAGTGTCATCTAGCAGCTCCAATATCAGCCTCAGATTAGCGATAGATGGCAATGAAAATATCACAGTACTGCGTTAGAAACCTTCTATCATGTACATCAACAGCAGACAGAAATGCTTTCTTCATCGCTCACATCTTGCTCGATTTATCTCAGTTTCAATGGCACTGACCCCAGTGTATGCCAACAAACTGAATGAACCCAAGTCTGAGATGAACGGTATTACAACTGCACGACAATCATATTGGGCCTTCTCCACAAGAAGCCTCCGTCAGATTGCGGGCACATCGGCTGGGATTCAAACCCAAAACCTGGGGATCCATGGGCCAATGCTTTGCCTTGGAGCCACCAAAGTGGCTTTTATTTCTCTGTCTCGAGGTTTAGATTACAACGTTTTCTAACCAGCTTGCCTGCATACTTTGGCTTCTTGCAATGTTGGGCTTATCTGGTGAAAACAAATGACCTTGTGCATGATCCACACAGCATAAAATACCAGCTTCTTTATGTGCACTGTCCATGGACTATAGAGAGTATTCATTGGCAGCCATAGTGGAGTCTGAGGCTGCTGAGCACGAGCTGAGCACAAACTGACGACACCATCAAGGTTTCCAGCCTTAGCAGCCTAAAAGCAGCCTAAAACTGTGAGCTCGGTCAAGCATGTACTGTAAACAGTGCACTGAAGTCTGACATTCGGTGGATGCCCCCTATGCGGAGAGCAAGTCGTCTGCTTCTTGCGCAGGAGTTGCGGCAGGGTTCGTACAGGATTTAAAGAAAGATATTCATGGATATTCAAGAAATTTCAAGGCCTTGTGGGAGTATTTTCAAGGACCTAACTCGATGCCGCACGTAGCAGATTTCAATCAAACACTGTTGTTAAAAGATTGCAGGCATCATTTTTATTGCACTAAGCAACAAAAAAAAAATCTACTTTTGCAAACCTGTTTGCTTTGCACTAGGCCGAAATAAAAATTGTTTCCAAAACCGCTTGTGGTAACTTCAGGTGAGCTCTGCAGCTTTTCCTGTATTTGCTGGCTGATGCTAAGCAGCTCCTCGGCCTTGCTTTTCGCAGTTTTCCTAAGACTATTTAATTTGACGCTGTATGTGAGGTAATTTTTTTTTTTTGCTTTTTCAGCGTAGGCATCTGCTGAGGCTGTGAGCAACACGTAGTGCTCACTCTGTTCGATTTTCCGCCGCAAGGCCGTTAGAAAGTTCTCAGTCCATGGCACGTCACGTAGGCGCATTTCTTTTCTCCGCAAGAAAACGCTTTTGCCACCTCACTGTCTGGGAATATGTGTTGGAACAACTTGCCCGCTGGTGACAATGACCGGTAGGAACAGTGGGATGTGACGACCTTCACAGTCCACATCACTCCGGCATTTGTCACCAACTAGTGCGTATTGCAAGCAGCGTATAGTTTGGGCAACTGCAGTGGAGGCAGGACAGTGAATTGTTCACTTGTACCCGTAGCCAGGTAATTTTGCACCAAGCTCTTGGCTGCAATCTTCATGATGTCGGCATGTTTCGCGCTCTTCATATGGCTCGTTAACGCCGACTCGCCCATGGCAGCGACTTCGAAGGTTTTTCCGCATGGCTTGTATCTTGCACAATGCTGATTTGTCGTATCTGGCGCCCCCAGTCTTTACATTCATCACTGCAGAGCCAAGCACCTAGAAATCTGCTTTTGCCGGACATTTTCCTACGACTGACGACAAAACACGAGGCCAATGGCGGAAACAGAGCGCAAAGCATTCCCGGATCAGATTGGATTCGGATTTGCTCTAATGTGGCCAACCATCCAATGAACATCGGTTAAATCTAAACAAATTGAGATAACTTATAAGATAACTTAGACCGAAACGAAAAAAAGTCAATAAGCATAACAAAAATACACAATATATACCTGCATTTGCTATTATAAATAGCCATTCAAGGATTTTCAAGGTCTAGCCAAAAAATCCAGGGCTTTCAAGGGCTCTGCAAGCCAAATTTTCAATCTCAAGGGTTTTCAAGGCTGGCAAAAAAATTCTGGATTTTCAAGGGAATTGAAAACCCAATTATTAAGTTCAAGGGTTTTCAAAGGTTTTCAAGGACCTGTGCGCACCCTGTGCGGTGATGTCAAAACAACGCCGAGCTCTGATTGAAAGGATAGTGGGTAGACCTCAATGCCGAATGCCTTGAAGTCTACCCACCATTTTTTTAAATCAGACTATAAGAACTCAACGTTCTAACATCACCGCAACCCCTGTGCTAGAAGCAGACAAACTTGCACTCCGTGTAGTCCAGAAAATATGGTACATAAAGAGATACACAAATTTGACTCTTGACTGGCTAAGAAAAGGCTGCACAATGCGAAGCGCCAGGCGCGGCGCGGCTTACAGCACCCACCTGCCCCTGCTGCTGCTGGACCCTGAGCTGGTCGTACTTGAGCAGCTCGGCCCAGTTGCCCTGCCGAACCAGGTCCTTGACATCATCGTTCTCCAGATCCACTCGGTAGTTGAAGTCCCCGCACCAGAACACGTAGTCGTGCGAGTTCAGGGTACGGCCCTGCGGCAAGCATGCGATCAACGCTGAAGTCGCCGGACAGCATTCGCGGAGCGCCATAAAACAACTACTAGGTGGAACCGACGGCACGTTGGCCCTCTGAAGGGACCGCATAAAATCAGTTTCCTAAGAGATTGCGATGTAATTTAGCACCAAAGAGCAATTAGACGGTGCATACTTTTAGTAAAAATGTAAAAGAATGAGCTCACCGGAGTAAAACAAAAAATTACACAAGTACACTTACGATTGCTTACATGTAGGAAGGCGAAAGCCAGTCTGTGACGACCTCTAAGACAACCTTAAGGACGACATCAAGAACAATGTCCAGGACAACGTCGATAATGACACCTAGACAAGGACACTTAAGGAGACTGCAGCATATTTGCGTGGGCGACCACGTTTGCCTGCGGAAGACGCCGTAGATGTAGACGCTGCCGCCGATGTCGAGGCCTTAGATGTAGACATGGTCGTCTCACAGTCCATCGCACGAAGCACACAGCGAGCACGGATGAAGTCTGAAGCGCACTTTTTGTTCTCGGCTCTCTGGCGGTGACATCACGCTGATGACATATGATGACGCTTGATGACACCACGTTGATGACGCTTGATGACCTATTTTTATGGCCATCTTTAGGGCATAACAATGCTGCCGCCACTTGTTTTTCACGTACTGTGACAAGTGAGGTCGTCCTAGAGGTCTAGCAGGACTTCTAGGACGACCGCAAGGACGAGGGTCGTCCTTGAGCACACGATTGACATTGGCGTTTTAACGGCCATTTACTCCGATTTGTCGTTCAATAGGGCAACTAAGGCTTTTGCCTTAATAACAAAGAAAAAACATTCTTTTATACGGACTAGACCTAGTTCTGGTGAAACTATGGAATGTCAGGGTGGGTAGCCATGGCGTTTATTTTGGCGCAACCAAGGGGATGAAATGTGGGTAGATTTTATTTCCCTTTCCTTCTGCTCTTTTATTGCTGTAATAAACAATGCGATGGCCCGCACCACTATTTGACGATTTCACGAAAAAAGGTCGTTGTGGACGTCCTGTCCATAAGAAAAGAGTTATTATTTATTTTTTTTCCTTTTGACCGATTCGAGTTTCTATTTTCCTGCATTCTAATGATAAGTGCACCACCTACGGGCACCTCCGCTGCAAATTGCAAAATTACACGTTAAGAAACCGATCCGTGCCGTCCTTTCAAAGGTGCCAACACACCGTCGGGTACGCCAGTGCCGTAGCTTGTCCTTCCGATCGACTTACCATTGGAAAAGAGGCCTTGCGCGCAATCTCGGCGTAATCTGCGTTACGCTCGGCGACCTTGGACTGCCCAGCCGCAAAGTGGGCGCACACAAAGCACAGCGAGGTGCTGTGGTACAGGAAGCGGATCGCCACACCTCCCTTGTTCCCCGCCGCGCCGCCCAGGCCGGTCTTCACTGAATCCACTGCGACATCCCTGAGGGACAAGCCTGGTCATTAGGGTCACCGACAGCTTAAAAACACAGGGCGTGACTCAGAACATTCACACTCCTTGCTTCCTGATTTGTCCTCCGGAGTTTCCGTCTGTGAATACCGTAATCTCATTGGCTACAGAGCGATCATAAAGTGCTCGGGGCTTGCTAGGCCCTGCATTTTCAAGGTTGCCAACGCCTGCTGTAACCCTGTCCAGTCCAGCAGACTGCAGTCACTTCGCTCTGGGAGATAACGTAGGTACAACGCAGGTACAACACAGGTACGTTGCCGTCTTAGCATTTCAAAATATCGGTACAACGCTCCCCAGACGCAGCCGCCGAGCTGCCGTACTGCCTGTCCCAAGCTGCATCTCTGCCTTTGTGCTCGGGGACAACCTTTCTTGGCATTTCCGAGGAGAGGAGGACAGAGCGTGCACAGCCTTGATTAGCGCTCAAAATGAGAGAGGGCACGCGTGCCCCTAGCTTTGACTGCATCGCCAAGAAAAGTCGTATGTCGTAATGCCCAATCCCCACAGTCACTGCAAGGGACGTTGTCGTGCCTTCCAAGCACGTAATGGACCGCATTTTGGCACTGGCACAACCATAGAAGCCTTGCAGCTTCACCTCAGCATCGCAGCAGTGAGACACTTGGCAAAAGTGTAACTGTGCAGTTTCACATAAAAGAAACAAAACGAAATGTAGATGCCCAAGGAGTAAAGTTGAACTCAAGCCTCACACCTGCAGCAGGCAATTAAAACTAGCACACTTTGATGACTGTTCCTGCACACAGAGAATTTGTTCTAGACACTAGATAATGAAAAAAAAAGAATTAGTTTTGGGGCAAATTTACAGATTGTAGCCGGAAGTTTCTCTTCGGTTGAGTCTTAAGGCCCGTTCACACTCTTGCGACCGAGTACGACTGAGAGAGACGAGATCTCTTACAACTTCTTAAATGTTTCTAGAATGAGGGAACACACTGACATTGTGGCGCCATCTATGCGGTGACCCTAGAACTGCATTTCACAAAAGCGAAGGTTTTGCGGGATTTCCGAGGTCAAATGTGTGTAATACCCACGGAAAGCTCGTTTATAACATTGACAAAAGCTTTTCGAGCCAAAAAAGAAAGGATATTACGCGAGAAATAAAAAAAAAAAAATATGCCAGACCGCCGAGTTTACACTGCTTCCCAATAGATGGCGCCAGTGTGTTCTCTGGTTTAAGAAGTTTTAAGGAACCCAGGTTTAAGAGGTCGCAAGCAGTCGCAAGAGTGTGAACGGGCCTTTAGCGTTTCCAATTGGTTGCCAGAGAGAGAGAACAACCTAAAATTGAAGAACAAAAAAATGGGCGGAAAACGCACCGTATGAATGGAGCATGTTCCGGCCTGATGAAGACGAAGAGGCAGACACCCACAAGCTGCGCCGACGTGAGGAGGACATACTTGTGGTCCCGGCTTATGGTTTTCTGCAGCTCCACCAGCCACTCCTTCTGATTGGCTGAGCTGGAAAACGGCGGACGCACGTCGCGAATGACTCTCTTATAACCACAACGGATGCACAAAATTGCTTTCGACAGTTATAGCAGTGCCACTCTGCTTGAAATAGCAAAGGACAAAGCTTTGTTTCTAAGGTCTGTCATCTTTGTGGTACAGACCACCCACCTTTTTATGATGCGATCATTCTCTAACGTCCTGCTGTGTCTCATCTTGCTTCCTCTTTGTGCTGTGTCGAATGATATCGATATATGGGGTGTATGAAATAAATGTATCATAAAACCCTGAATTGAACCAACAAATGCCCCTCTCTAGGACAAAAATAAGGGAGGTAAGGCACATTGTCCATTAGTAGGAGTGTCAAGAGACGAATTTACCGGGTCGCTAATCCGGACATGAAACCCTCTCGTAACACTGCATTGTCCCGATGCACGTAGCCAGCGTTATACAACCGAAGCATACTTGGTTTGGCAGCGGCAGGTAGCATCCGTGGTTCGGTTCTTTTGCCAGTTGTATGCAATATCGAACACAATGCATGCTACAATTTATGGTGCAGTACTTTATTAAATCATTTCGGGCCACCAGCCCTAACAACAAAATTTACAGCTAGACTTTCCAGCCAAATGTATAAACTTGGAATAAAGAAACAAAATTTGTTGCATAGTGATTTAGACAGCAGGACTTAAAAGCTTAGGAGTTTTGAAGCTCTAATCTACACGGCGGGACCAAGCAGGACGAAGCAGAATTAAGGAACCGGGATATCACCACCTGCTGTAATTGGCCAGCTTCAAACCGCTGACCAATCACAGCAGGCGTTGATGTCTTGATCCCCTGGTCCCGTTGCATAGAATAGGGCCCACAGTATGACTACAAACCGGGAGTGCAATGTGCAGTAGGGATTACACAACTACGAACCGGTATGATGCCCATTTAGATCAAACTAGGCAGGGGTGGGGTTCAAACACAGAAATAATCCCTAGGATCTGCAGCGCAAGCTAGCACTGCAGAGCAAGCTAGCATAAGTGCGCTAGCTCATCGATTTCGACACTTTTGCCAAAAACATGTGATGCCAAACTCGGCACCTGCCACAACTTACGGCGCGGCACCTCTACTAAATAAACGCAGGAAATGGGCTTTAACACGAACCAGTAGCTAGACTCTCCAGGCAAACATGTAGACAGAGTGGGGCATCGGTTGTTCATGCCAAAGCAAACGAGCCGCCATGCGTTTTCGGGGACGACACCCACCTGGCGTTCACAATATTGCTGGCGTTGAGGTCAACGATCTCCTCGAAACCAATCGCAAAGATGTCCGTGGCAGTCTTGTCCACCTGGTGGCTCACGTCAACCAAGGCTGCAGTTCCAGTGAAGGATTGATTCCCGCCATTAAAAACAAAAAAGGCAGAATAAAAAAAAGAGGCAGAGGACCATCCCAGGCTCATTTTGAGACGGTGTTGCAACCTTTCCACAACCCAATGTGCAACCTCCGGTGATCGCTGGGGGTTGCATTATTACTACTACATTATTTTTCAGTTGTGCCTGGAGTAGGGGTCTGCACTGGTCACGTTTTCTCCTATGTGTGTCCTCAATATGGCAAGAACTATGTCCAAGACTTTAGCAGAGTGAATGCTGGAGAAGAGGTGACCTTCTCTCCAGTGTTCGCTCTGCTAGTTTGGAAAGAGGTGGGAGGAACTTCCCCTGAACTCTTAACCTGCCATCGACTATAGTTGGATTTAGCACGTTTCAGTTCTGCACGTGACCCTTAGTGGCACAAAAACTGCTAATGCAAAAATTTTTATTATGCCCACGTTTTATTTTTTTAAGGGCACAGGGTAAGGTGAAATTGAAAAAAAATTTGATTTTAGTTTTTTTCGCAATTTGAAAAGTTTAGTTCTTTCTGCACATTTTCCATTGTCCCAGTGTTTTTAGAAAGCTATATTTCGGGCTGAAAATCACTTCTTCCGAAAGCAAGTAGCAGGTGACCACGCCTCCTTTTAGGATACACTCCCTGTTTATCGATGAATTCTCCAACAAAACAAAATCGACACAAGACCTAAGAGCTTGTCCAGTAACAGATAATCTCAAAAAATTATTTCGCAACTATTGCATAGCTTTTTTTCAACCAAGACAATCACGAGACGCTGTGCACGTTTTTCCCAGGTGTGTACCGTGTGTACATTCAAGCGTTTGTGTTTTCGTAACGACAAAATGGCGCCAATGAATGCTGTTCCTTTATTTAATGGTGGCAGCATTGCACAATCCAATGTTTTGAAGTTTCGTGGATGGAACCCTGTTTCGAAAGCCATCAAGTGGCTGAGGGAAGTTGACGTCACTCTAATATACTTTACGGACCAAGCGACATGGCAGGTCACAAAAGAGGCCCGGCAAGCAAGGCGATAAGCCTAAAGGCGAAGACATGACTTTTGCAATGCCTTTCAAGCTGGCGGCTATTGAAAAAATGACTCTGAGGCTGTTGGTGCCAATAGAAATTCGTTATTCACCAGTTTTTTTGCTTTAAACTCAATTATCTCAAAACATTGTTTTTTAGTACATAGGTACCATTTTTTCCTTAACCTGACATTATAGAGGGTTGATTTTTTATTCCTACCACATACATGGGTGTTCAAAAATACTGAACTAAAATTAAAAATGTGCACCTAGCAGTTTTTGAGTTACGAAGTTTTTAATAGACGAAAACAACTAAAATTTCAGTACTAGAATAAAAAAATATGAAAAAAAAAACTTACCGTATTTACTCGCGTATAGGTCGACCTGTTTTTCAAAAATCGCCTCATCAAAACTGGGGGGTCGACCAATACGCGAATCCCGGTATTATATTTTTCAACTTTTTTTTTTTTTTTTTTTTCGGGGGTCTCGAAGTTAGGGGGTCGACCTATACGACGTATCGACCAATATGGGAGTAAATACGGTATTTTATATTGGTTCAAATAATTCTAGTCCAGTGGATAAAACACAATATTTCGAACAAAATGATATTTACATGACAGGAATACTTTTAATAGTCACCGAGAAAAATGTTCCTCAACATGGCCTCAAATGCATGGGGAGTATAGGACTTACCTTGTGCCCTTAAATATGGAATTTTAAGAGTTTACTATCTACAGTTGTTTTATCATTGTAGTTGCTACATTGAATTGTGACAGCTGGGGCAGTATAGCCAGTTGCTTTACATTCAGACTGGAAGATGGTCGAATTAAACAAATTCCCACCAGAAGATTTTTTTTTTTACATCCATTATTTATTAATTGCAGCTCTATAGAGACACTTCACTTTATATATTTCCTGGCCCGACGCAACCATGTCAAAATTCGACATGCTGACCATCACAGGAAAACCATCTGTACATTGCAGTGATCCCGCAAAAGGTGATTTAACTAAAGAAAATGTGAGACAAAAAAAATTGGTAGTACTTTGTCGTGTTTTTCAAACGAACTGCAGCCACAGCTAAGACACTCCATACCCTGCCACACACGGTTCCACTAGTGTGTTTTTATATTTAGCGAACCTACATCCCGCAAAATTTATCATATGCCATAGTGTCATATGGCACCATGATGTCAAGTTACATTACATCATGACATCACATGACGCTGCGACTCCACGCGACATTACGTGATGTCGCAAATTCAATTTACTGGGGAAATTTCCCGCCAAATTTAGCAGGCTACGGCCTATGCGTAAATGCACGCCAGAAGTCGGACGCGAAACGTCGCCGACAACAACGACCGCCGTAAAAACAAAAAAGCGCCACTGACCGCATCCTCCGCCGACGGCGCTATTGTCGACGAGCCAGTCCGACATGGGGTGGTTGCGGAACACCACGCTGTTGAAGTGCTTGCCCCCGTTGACGTTCCACGTCGCCACCGTCACACGGGCCTTGAGGGGAATCGTGTATTCCAGCTGCCGCACGCACATGGCCCTCAGCAGGCTGGGGGGCACTGCACGTGCAAGTACACGCACATCACCTTCGCCATCCGTGGTCACCGATGGCGTAAGAAACGCAGGGCGTGGCTCATTACGCTCGCTTCGAGATTCGTCCTTCGGCATTCTCGTCGGCCGACACTGCGACCTCATCGGCTGCGGGGCGACGATTAAGATGCTCGAGAATCGCCACACCCTCCGTTTCTTGAGCAGTCTGCCACTACGGCGATCGCACAACTGTGAGGTGCCTGGCACGTTCATACTTACGGGTGCAAAACACTGTTTCAAAGGGAGCGAAGAAGCAACGAGAACGTCAGTTCGAAAGCGATGAACGTAGAGTTGATGCAAATCGATTTTCACAAGTTCAGCTGGCGAAAGTATAAAAACGCGACGACCCGGCAACGTTGGGCGACGGTTTTAGTCGCGGGTCGTGTTCCGCGTTGGGCCTCTCGCGGCGCTCCGTTTGTTACGCTACGACGACCGAGAAGGCCGATTTGCAACGACAATCTTTAGAAAATACGCTAGATAAACCGCGCCGTTGCGAAAATTAATTTTAGCACCCCCGGTGCCTTGCTTTTTTGTGCCTAGTGGCACGCACCTGCCCATCAGAACTGCGTGGTCCCCCATAGGACAAACTTGACTACTTTAAATATTTTTTATTTGTAAAAGTAGGCATCTCTATATTTACGCCAATAAAACTTCCCGTGAGGCTGCGTCCCTCCGCACAATTATGGCGCCGTGTCTCATGAAATCAGTTTTCAGGATGGGTTTAAAGTGCACCCGACTTGTTTGTGCCACCCTGTTAGCTTCCCTAAAGCATAGGTTCCCCAACAGGGTTGCTAGGAACGCTGCGGTTCCCCCCAAAACCCTTGGGTGCTCCCCAAGCTCTGAAGTTTGCTTGGCCGTCCCTGCACCTAGGCAAACAGTTCTCCCAGCTTAAGCACTACCGGTTTAAAAGATCCGAGCCATTCATTGATGTATAACTATGTGGTAAACACTCCCTAGTAAATGCATTAATCTCTACACGGACGGAAGGCTTCTGCAGTGCTTTATCACACCAATGTCAAGACCAGTGGCTCCAATCTGGACACTTGGCAAAAAAGTCGGAGAGGAATTTGGCGGCTGTGATTGGCCGGCGACAGCCAATCACGGTGGCCGAATTCCTCAAAGACTGTTTTTCACCCAGTGTCCAGATTAAAGCCCCAGGACAGGTTCTTTGGCTGTGAGTCAAGAGAGGCGTTTTTCGAGATTGAGAAGTTTCAGAGTGCATGCCCTATGGGTTGGGGGTGCAAACTCACAGTGCAGCATGGCAGTGGGCAGGAGGGCCCGTGCTCTGTCGGCTAACTCGCTGCACATAGCACTCCCCAGGAGGAGCACGTCAATGGCCTCCTGCTTGCTGCTGTCCAGGAGGTTGTTCTGGATTGTCCGCACCATCGACCGAGAGCCGTCCTTCAGCTGTCACCGTCGGGTCCAAAAGACAGGTCAATAAAATAAGGAGCACAGGTGATCAGTATACACCACTGATGGGTTCAAGTGACAGTAGCGGAATCTTACAAAGAAATTCAAAATGGTAGGAAAATATGCCCAACATAAAGAGTTGATGGCAATTATAGATGACAGTGGAGTAGACGGTATAGTGAGCAGGTGATAGCGAGAGCAGACGATATAGTGTGCAGGCGACAACGAGAGCAGACGACGGTGAGCAGGCGACAGAGTGAGCAGATGACAGTGAGAGCAGATGGCAGTGAGAGTAGAAGACAGTGAGAGAAGATGACAGAGGGAGTAGGCGACAGGGGGAGCAGATGGCAGCGAGAGTAGAAGACGGTGAGAGAAGACGTCAGTGAGAGTAGATGACAGTAAGAACAAAAGACAGCAAGAGCAGACTACAGGGGGAGCGGACGTCAAGGGGAGCAGATGACACTGAGAGCAGACAAGACAACAGATGACAAAAAAGGAATGTGTACAAAATTCTAAAAACAAAAAGATAATTAAAAAAATTATATACACAGACATGGTTTAAAAAAAACTAGACTGAGGAAAAGTAAACATACAGACAGCAGTATTACACAAAGTAAGGTGCAATGCTCTGTTGTCTACTTAAGCCTCTGAGCTTTCTGTTGTGTTGTTATCAAACCAGCTGGCCTAGTACTTCATAACATTCAACAAGCAGACAGATGCAGTAAAGTCAAAACTTTGCAGGAAGGTGTTAACAACTCCTAAACAAAATCTTTTTTTTTTTTTTTTTTTTCAGTACTGATGTGGCGCACATCACAAAAGCGCTGCTGAATCCAGGGCAACATACCAAAAAGATGAGTTCCAAATGTCCTCAAGGAAGCAATAAACAGCACCCACCGCAAAAGACCAACAGAAAAGCTGACAATCCAACACAGAAAACAGCCAAACATATACTATAGCGATGCAAAGCACGGTTGGCATATCGAAAATCCTGTCGTAAATGTATATTCACAAGAAGAAAAAATATAAGCATGTCTCAATTATATCTGATAAACTCGGAGATGCACAGACTGTGCTGCAAACGAGCTGGACACAAGCTGAGTGTGTGTGACATCACGAGACGCTGCGAATTTACTTAACTTTGCGACATCACAGTCTCACGTGACGTCACAGTCACATAACGCCATGATGTCACCGTGATCTGTATGTCGGTCAAGCGTAACGTGTCGCCTTTCTTGTGAAACCCAGCCTGATGACACCTTCCATGTTAAAAAGAAAGAGAGCTGCTGGCGTACCTTGGACTTCCCTTCGAGGGCGCCTGTGCCGGCGTAGATCTTGCTCACTTGGTCGCCATTTTGTACCCACATTTGCCGGAATACCTCCAGGAACCTCGAGGCTACCTGGGGCTTGTCATGGAGGCCGAGGCATGCCACCTGACCCGGCAACACCTGCACAATTTTTCCACAAGAAATACTCAAATGCAGCAAAACACAGTGTTGGGAAATACTTCAAGTACACTGTACTTAAAGTACTACTGGAAGTAGGTTTAGAAAACCTGTACATTACTTGAGGCACATTCTCTGAGTGTATACCTGTACTTCACTTAAGGGGCAACACTGGCTAGAGAAATTAATTCTGAACTACTCATGTGATTGGAATGAAATTTGAAATTTGTGATTGGAATGAAATTCAATGTCAGATGTAGATGTACTGTGCAAACTTTCAGCTTTCTAGGACAACTTTACATACCTGCAAGAGAAGAGGTGTCACTCTTCGTTAAGAAATCTATGATATGCAAATGAGATTATTAAAAAGTGGGGGATGTGGGACTTGGGGCTATCTAGTTTTTAAAACTCAAATATAAATATTTCAGAAAGAGTGATTACCTCCAAATGTAAGATGAATATCTGTCCTACGTCAATTTTTGAAAACATAATTTTTTTTCAATGAGGACTTCAACTTAAAACAATATAAAATAGATAGCCAGATTTTCCAGTAAATTTCAGTTCAGAAACATCTTGATTGTGGTATCAGAATACTTTTATCTTCGAACAAAAGATTCCTTCGTATAAAATTTGCAGCAAAAAGTGGAACTGAGAAAAATGCATTCAAACATTGAACTCCTTTACTTTGTTACTTCCTCAAAATATGTTGAAACTTTTTTATATCCACGTAACTATTTGGCGTATGGTTATCAAATTTAGTGTAAGGTATTTAGTTTCTAAAACCGAAAACCTCAAAATTAAAATATGAATTTTTTCAAAAAACTTTGAAATTTAGGCTTATGTCTCCCCTTAAAGGGGCCCTCCGGAGCGTTCTGCGATGGTCTATTTATGGCGGTAACTCAATCTACGGGCCCTAAGGATTCTAAAAATCATAAAATTACGGTCATGCGCGGCCGATTTCCCTATTAAAATTGCTATCAAAGTCCCAGGCACGCCCCCCTTCCTGAGATGACCCCGGAAAATGGGAGGGGCATCTCTTTACGCGTCAGCCAATAGCAAGCGAACGATTCCGGCTTCACTACGCGTCACCAACGCGGCCGACCGCCGACGCGCGGAGGAATCTCTCGAACAAGCGCAGACCGTCGTCAAGGAGCCCGGACTTCGTGCTTCGGCAGTCGTCGTTTGTGGCACCGCACCGTCGCGCTGCTACTGCAATACGCAGTCGCATTCCACAGATGACAAGGAAGAGTTTGACTCGTTGACATAGAAAGATCGCCAAGCTGGCTTCGGAGTCGGGATCCACGGGAAGAAGGAACACGTGTCCCGCCAACGCACGCCTGCACACTCCCCGGGAAGCAGACGAGCCGACGCGCCGCACATCACCCCCTAGCAACAAGCTTGCGGGGAGAAAACATAGTTCGCTGGTTTTGGAACGATAATTGCGGACTATGTTTCTCGCACCACAATCAGTTTACGTTTTTCTCAAACTCTAATTTACAACTAGCTTAAAAAGTGTTGCGATAATAATGTTCGCTTTCACGACGAGATGCAGCATTTTTATTGGTCAAGTTTTAGCGATGGGCAGGGAATCGGGGATTGTCTTCCAAGAGAAAATAGTCCCGTTATATTTCTACTGCCATCTGCTTAATAAATTATTTTGTAATCTAAAACTTTGTATACATATTAACTTGCACCTACTACGCAATATAACAACATAAACAGACGATCTCAGAAAGCTCCGGAGGGCCCCTTTAAAGCACTTCTTCTGGTATTTTCCTAGGAAAGCCAAGGATGCGACCACGCGCTTGCATCCTTGGCTTTTCTACTACTATACGAAACTTCTGAAGTCGGATACAAGAGTTGAACAACCTCTAAAAAAACATATGGCATATTGTTCCATGAAAACGCGCTATCATCTTTCGAAATGTCATTTGGTCAGTTCTCCGAATGAAGTAATGGCGCCTATAAGACCGACACAAATATGTGCCTTGTAAGTTGATTGCGTTAAACAGTTTGTCAGCGAGAGTAAAAACACTTCTATTCTGTGGCCACTTGACTTCATCCAATATTTCCTGCCATTTCCAATATTTGCCGCCATTTCCGAAAACATCTGATGCACCCTTTATTACCCCTGGGGCAATGCATACCAGTTAAAAAAACACTGTATAGGGGAATGAAAGGGCATCATTAAAGATTGTGTTAAAAACTACTTGCACTTTACTTTGAAAGTACATTGTATTTATAGTACTTTACTTCAAGTACATTGTGCCCGGTGTACAGTGGACTCCTCTTAAACGGAACTCGAAGGGACAGAAAAATTTGTTCCGTTTATCAGAAGTTTCATTAAAGCAAAGCACATAAAATGAGTGAAATATGACTTTATTTCACAAGCATGATGTCCAGCTAATGTAGCTGACTAGAAAAAAGAGGTAATGGTAGTTTGTTTTGCATTTTGTAATCGCTTTTTGACGAAGTAGGTGTGCATGCCTTGGAGGTACAAAGGTTTCTGTTGACTGCTGCACCTTCCCCAGAAATAGTCTTAAAGACTAGGCCGTGGCGCTTTTTAAAACGGCTGAGCCAACCGTCGCTCATTTTGAAGTTATCTATTCCCAACTGAGACGCAATCTCTCCAGCCTTTTCTTCGAGGATGGGGCCGCTGATCGGGAAATTAGCACTTCGCGCGCGCTTAAACCAGAGAAAAAGGACGTTCTCTATTTCCTCAAAAGGCGTCTTTCGCATCCTCCTTCGGTCGGTGGCAAAGCTTCCGCGCTTTACAGCGTCTTGAATCTTTTCTTTGTCCTTTGATATCCTTGAGAGTGTAGACTTCGGGATATCGAACTTCCTTGCGATCTCCGTCTTCGAGAGGTCACCACGATCCAGCTCTTGAAGGATCTTCATTTTCGTAGCAAGCGAGATCGCTTGGTGCGGCCGCTTTTTTACCGCTTCCATCACAACACGGCAAGCGGACGCTGGTTTGTGTACTCGATGGTTAACGTGACGCGCAACAGACGAGGCGCTAACCCTAATGGCGGTAGAAAGACTGGATTGGATTGCCTTAATATAATGGCTTGGATGGATGGATGAATGGCTGTACCGTACCCTTTGTAACGAGCGGCACCTCGCGTCACCTAGCCTAACAACTTTTTTTTTTTTTTATAATAATATTTGTATAAATTTTGTTCTAACACAACCCCTTTTCCTTTAAAGTGTCCTCAGTCTTGGCTATTGCGTACTCCATGGTTGTGAGACTGCTGTAGCTATTTCCGATGTCCGCGGTCGCCATAGGTAGTTTCGGTTTCGGTCCCGTTTAACCGAAGTAAGCAAAAAGGGGGGTTCCGATTACCCGAAGAATTTATCATTAAATACATAGGAAACCAACCGAAACAACCTTTAGAGTTCCGTTTATCCGAATTTTCCGTTTAAGCGAGTTTCGTTTAATGGGAGTCCACTGTACTTACTACTTTACTTGAGGTACATAACCTCTCGTTTATTTTCTACCTTACTTCAAGTACTTTTTACATGTACTTTACCAAACAGGGGCAAAACCTAACTTAAATTGTCTCCTAAGGCATGCATGCAAAGCATGAAGGGACTGAGGTTGGTAGAAAGAACTTAAAAGGAACCTACTGGAAGCCTCTGAGAATGGCAGCCAATGTTTCAACTTAGCTTCTGAAGAAGAAATAAACTGTTGAACTCCATCTGCAAGCAAAGCCAAAGCTACAAGTACGACCACGTTGCCCTGAACGACGCTTGCACTGCATGAGCTTGCGTGCTTGGCAGGGATGCTGAAAGCCCAGAGCTCGCTAGTGCAGCTTCTGCTACGCTCCCACTTAAATTGAAACAACGTAAAAGTCTGTTAGCTCGTAACTCTCTGAAGAAACTCGGTCAGGCAACTTTGTACATTGCTACTTCAAGACTACCACGAGACTCCTAGGACACTCTCAACGTTAGTGGAGAAAAGCTTCAGAAGAAAGGCACACGCTATTTCTGGCACCCACTCTTAGCGTATATTGAACTGTGCATGCAGTATGAATTTCGTAAAGTATCTGCCATAGAACCCCAATCCTTTGCCCAAACCTGTGAGGACAATCCAGTCATACTTTTTTTTAGGTTTCCAGATGGCCAAAGTGTATCATTCCAAAGCTGTAATGAACTAACACCTAAACTATACTGTGTTGCCAAAAGTTATGTTTTGATCCTTGGTAACTAATGGTTTCACTCAACTGGCTACACTTCCAAAAGAGTTTTATAAGCCACATCAGAAAAATATTCACACTGTAATGAGCAATCATTTTAACAAAGGGCTACACTGAGACCTCTGTTATAGCAGTCAGTCTGTCATCGATGGCATAGTCGTCACTAGCAGGTGACTGTGGATCAAAAGATAACTAGTACTGCCGAGACCGGTTATAACGAAATAGCGGCTACAGCGAAGCGATCACGATTTCCCATTCCCTATTGCACTTTGTTATAACCGAAGTTGGTTATAACGAAATACCGGATATAGCGAAGTGATTTCCGATTTATTTATTTATTTATTTATTTATTTCATTTTCCCTCAAGGTCAGAGGCATTACAGAGGGGGAGAGCAAAGAAAAATACAGAAAAGAAAAACAAGCCTAGAAATAGGTTAAAAACACTCAAAAAATAAGATTAGTAATTGCAGTTTTGAAAAGGTCAGAGTCCGTGATGGTGGCAATTGTCCCGGGAAGGTGGTTCTATTCTCGTGATGTACGAGGGACGAACGATGAATGAAATGTTGTTGTGTTAGAAATTGGAATACCAACCTTGTGATTGTGATCATTGTGAGAAGAAACATAAAAAGGACGGGATATTAATTTGCCGCACAGGATAGAATTGTGAAAATAAATCTTACGGAATATAGAAAGGCGGGAAATGCTAGGGCGCAAGGCTAAAGGCGGCAATGATAGAGTAGCTTTCATGGCGGTCACGCTAGCCGTGTTGTGGTAGTTAGAAAGGATGAAACGAGCTGATCTGTTTTAAATCGCTTCCAATGCAGTGATTAGGGTGACTTGTCCAGGATCCCAGACAGAGGCTGCATATTCCAACCTTGGACGAATTAATGTTCTATAAAGAGTCAACTTGAGTGCAACTGGAGCTAATGAAAAATTTCGTTTAACATAACCTAACATGCGGTTAGCGTTAGAGGAAGCAAACTGAATATGATTCTTTCATGGAAGGTCAGATGTTATGTGCACGCCTAGGTATTAATAAGATGACACCGGCTCCATATAAACCTGATCAAGGAAATAGCTATGATTGTCAGAAGATTGTCGAGATACACGCATAGACTTACATTTGTTAGCGTTAAGGCTCATTGACCATAAATCACACCACTCGATGATAGTGTAGTGTCGGACTGTTTCCCGTTGACTAGACCATCTATTTATCTTCCTGATCAAGGCTTCTGTTCAATACATATTGAAACACACAGAGCCAACGGATCGCTCCAGAAAAGCCTATTTGTAACACCACAGAAGCTGCTGCAGCTGTGCAGATTTAAGCTAAAATAGTTATTGACGCCCGCTCAGCTCGGACTGAGCCAAACTAAGGGTACACCGTGGCCGAACTCAAAGAAAACCTACCAAAACAAACTACTGGTACAATTTAATACATGCACAAAGCCAAAGGCAAGTTTAGAAAGGTTCCCACCTCCAGTCCAATGAATGTCTGCACAGAATTTGTCCTGTCCAAGCAGTCCAGGCAATTGGTACGGAACGTCCCAGTCTGCTGCCTGCAAAAACATAATGACGGAAATGCTGCTCAAAATGGAAAGTACAGGGCATTAAAGAGAAAAAAAAGTATCTGGATTTTAGGGTACATGTCGCGCAAGAGGTATAAAAAAACAGCCACTAAAATATATTATACTCTTCTCATTTTTTACACTTGCAGTGACCACCATTTCAGTGTTGCCAGATTACTAGTCCTTCCCAGTGGAAAGGAGAAATATTTACTTCTTGAGATTTTTTTCAACAAAAACATAATTATTAAGAAGTGCAGCTTTTGAAACATATTGGTGCTCCCCAAACACAACAGTGCCACATGGCTGACAAGAAATACTAAAGAACTGTTGGTAACTTCTTAATCAGTCAGTCAACAGATACAACTTTTTAGGGTTTCCAAAATTGAAGGAATGTCTGCCTCCTTTCTGCTAACAGCACTTAAATTATATATTGAGAAATAGGATGTTTGTCCAAGTCAGGATGAGCGGGTGTGTTTTACGATTCACACATTTAGGAAGAGATCAGAAACATGTATATCTTTTATCCGTTTCTGTTCTCTCCTTAAATGTATGTATAGGACGTTTGATCACAGAAAACTTGGAGCAGCTGTCGTCATTCTTGCCACGACTACGCTGTTGCAACGTAGTCACTCGTAAGGATTACCGGTACGATCAATGTCTGCCAAACTCATTACCGTAAAAACCCGCGTATAGCCCGGGGTTTTTTTCTAAATTTTAGGGTGAGAAATTTCGGCCCTGTACTATATGCGGATCTTAAAACTTTTCGGCCCGAATTCACAGTTTTGGTTTCGGTTTCGGCATTGGGCGGTGCTATCATCATCATTAGGTGTCTGCGCGCTTCTGCGTTAGGTAGTGTTAGTGGCGTTGGTGGCGATAGTCCTAGAGACCTACAGGACAGGCGTGCAACAGTGGCCATTGCAATCACTTGGCACACATCACAACGGCCACAATTTTCTGTGATTTTACACCATGTCAGGACCGCGCAGGCAGTACTCGGCTGCCTTTAAAAGAAAAGTTATTTCTGCTGCCGAGCGGCAGTTCGGCATGAACGAGCAGAGCATTCGCGGTTGGCGGAACCAGAAAGAAGCCCTTTTCGCATGCAGCGGCCAGAGAAAAAGTTTCCGGGGACCAAAAAATGGAGCGTTTCCTGAAGTGGAACGAGAACTGACGGACTTTGTTCAAGAGCAACGAGCTGCACATCTCGCGGTGAACATCGAGCTGCTGCAAGCAAAGGCAAGGGAGATCGCTCGAGACAAAGGCACTCAGCGGGCGGACTTCAAGGCAAGCAAGTATTGGGTGTCTCGCTTCATGCGCCGTGCTGGGTTCTCCCTACGTCGGCGTACGTCGATCTCGCAGAAGCTGCCAGAAAGCGACGAAGAGCTGCTTGTGGCTCTTCAGAAGCATGTGATTTCTTTGCATAAGGCAGTCCCCTTTCAGCTGGGCCAGATCGGCAACGCTGACCAGACGCCGGTGTACCTCGATATGCCCTCGGCTCTAACGGTGCATCAAAAAGGCTCCAGGCAAGTTACCGTGCGATCAACTGGGAACGAGAAAACGCGGGTAACTGTAATGTTGTCCTGCACGGCAGACGGTTGCAAGCTGCCACCCTACGTGGTGTTCAAACGAAAGAAGCTGCCGAAGGGGGAGAAGTTCCCAAAAAATGTTGTCATCTGCTGCCAGGACAAGGGGTGGATGGACGAATCGCTAATGTGGACTGGATAAAGTCCGTGTGGTGTCGACGGCCCGGAGCACTGCTGGGGTTCCCATCGATGCTTGTGCTCGACGCGTTTCGGTGTCATCTGGCGGACTCCGTGAAGTGACTGCTGCGCGACTCCCGCACTGAGCTCGTCGTCATCCCGGGAGGGATGACATCTCAGCTGCAGCCACTTGATGTGTGCATTAATAAGCTGTTTAAGGACCACATCAGTCGGCTGTATATGGAGTGGATGAGGTCTGGAGAGCCGGAAGTGACCCCTGCCGGACGGCTGAAACAGGCCTCGCCAGCTCTGCTCTGCGCATGGATTGCCGAGGCGTGGGCCTGCATTCCCGAAGCGCTGGTTTGTCGTGACTTTAAAAAGTGCTCCATTTCAAACGCGCTTGATGGCACGGAGGATGAGGTGCTGTGGGAGGACATCTCCAACAAGGGAACTTCGGAAGAGAGTGCGTCAGACGAGGACGACGAATAAGGTGTAATGTAAATAAATGCATTTTTCTGGGTTTTTTTTTTAACTATATTCGCGTGAAAACGTTTTTTCTCGCGTTTTCCATTCCCGAATTACACCTCGGACTATATGCGGATCCGAACTATACGCAGGTTTTTACGGTACTCGGAATCTAAGAGAAGAAGTTTGAGAGATCTACATTAATTTTTGGTACCGTAATCAACACAAAATTTCCATCTATTTGGCACTAAATAAAACTTTCCTTTGTTTCTAAAGGCAATGCCTTCCTCCACTTTCTAAAAGTTTCCACCATCTGGCTATACCGACGTAGGTACAGTATTGCTCCTGGACGACTCAGACGTGCAAGCGGTGTGTGACGTAAACCTCACCCTTGCACGCTGTGACCATCGAAGTAGAAGCAGCCGAAGCTTGTCAGGTGAGGAGAGATCTGGTTCTTGAGATGAATCAGGTTGTCTTGACGCCCACCGCGACACAACGCGTGGTAGTCGAACGACACCATCGACGTCTTTCGACGTGACGCTTTCTGATGATGCTGCAAACGGCAAAGACAAAAGGTAGGCTCGTTTCAGAACACGTATAATGATTTAACATGAGCCAGACAGTAAAATGTCCCGCTTTTCCGGCAGAAGCTTTTGCACGGCAAACAGCTCAACAGGAGTCGACGCATCTCTGACGTACACAGAAAGATAAAAAGAATGTCTGAAATACCTGAAACATCTGGGTAAGCATGGTCTCCCCCTCTTTGCTGCCGAGAAGGTTGATGATGACTTGATCACCGTATCGTTCCTTGATCATGGACATGTGCCTGAGAGATGGAAAGACAGATGTTCACCAACAATTGGACACAACTGAGCATCAGGTTTAGAAATCAAACTGCGAGCTCCCGACAGCACCACTCTGGTCAGTTGGCGATGGTTTGCATAAAATTCTCCAGTGCCCAGCCAACAAAACAAAGGCAAAATTGTCACCTTTCAAAAGCCGGCACGGACGCTTCACTGCCTCTTGACATCTTCACTCGGTGGGAACCAACCTGTGAACCGCAAGAAAAGCAAACGAGTTCGACATATAAAAGAAGTCGGTGGTGTCTCACTATAACCACTGACAAGATGAGAACAGCGAGGACAAGTTTCAGTTGTCCCACTTCCAGTGCAAGCTTCCTAGCATTGACAACACTTTGACGTATCACGAGCCTGGAGCCCGCACGCGCGGCCAAATTGCGGAGAAAGGCAAAGAGCATAAGCTTGGAGGCTGGGTTGTTTTTTCGAAAAGATGCCCTGCCGTTCCCATCTCGTCGGTGACCATGGGAATGATAAAAGACAATGAACCCTGTTACCAAAAAGCAACACTGGGAGAAAACATAAGAAGTCGAAGGTCACCTGCACTCCTGGCTGTTCCCAGAACAGGGGAACAGAGCCCCTGGTCTGCACGTAGGACGTGATCTGGTCTTCGAGGTAGATGACCTGCCGGAGGAGACCGCAAGTGAGATGCGCGCACCGGCAATTCGAGTCAGGCATGCCCACCCCCCGTGGGTGGTTGAACAGTGGCCTTAATAACCGCACTTTGGAGTGACAGCCAGATTCGAAGGACCATAAAACAGAAACTGCTGGTGGAAAGCCAGGTTACCTTTCTCTCCATTATGAAACTACTTCACCATATGGTGTTACTGCAATGTTGCTGTGAAGGCCCGGCAAAGCATTAAATACAGATAATTGGCCTTTTTTTTTTCTTTTTTCTGTTATGACATTTGCAAGTTCCTCTATCCATTATAAAGGTGGACAAGTTATGTAAACAATATCTATGAAAACAAAATAAAAAATTTACAATATTCCCACTTCTATTCATAAACCTCAAATTCCTTCACTACCATAAAATCCCGTATCAATGGCCTCTCCCGAGAGATTGCCCATTCAATTTTTGTGGCCGAGTATCCATAGGATAAAAATTCAGAAACATTGGCGCATCAACCGCGTGATTTGCGGTATCAGTAAGTGTAGTAAGTGAGCTCACAGCAGGTTCCTGCGTGTTTATTCCACTATAGAAAATGGGTTGGCTGTGTCCGCCAGCTCTGCACACAATATCGGTTACCAAGACGTGCAAGCTTGTAGCGAGTTTCCTCCTCTTCAAAATGAGCGGGCATTCATACAGGATTTAATGGTACACACATTAAAAGCTTACTACGATGTTTCAATATACTACAGTCAAACTTTTCTCTACAGTAAACATTTTTAAAACCTCCGCAACAACAATGTTATCGTATGAACACATCAAGTGCCCGTGCCAACCTTACCACAATGTATCTTTATGCTAAAATGAAGTTGTGTTAAGTTTGTAACAATGGTACAGACACTTGAAGTACCAACCATATGAAAGTAAACCAGACATACAGGGTTACTCAAAAAGAGGGAGCAGATTTCAAAGAAACTGTGGAAGACAGGAACACATTTTGCAAATCACTGGATATTGAAAGATAGAAATTTCAGTGGTCCTTGCGGTTCTTTGCATGAGCAACACGGGTTGCATGGCAAACATCAAAACAGTATTTCTAAATAAGTCAGCTTGAACTTTATAAGTATACTCGAACACAAAGAAAGAAAAATGAGGAGAGGACAGGCAGCTGTCCTCTCCTGTTCTAAAATACTAAAGTTCAAGCTGGTCTATTTACAAGTATGTACCAAGAAGCTAAACTCTTAACCGTTAATCAAAACAGTAGTCCATTTCTTGCGACACACAAATCGACAGGTCCTTAGTTCCTGAATTCACACTTTCAACAATTCAATGTTTTCGATTTTGAAAAGTAGCAAGCATAGGTGGGACAAACACCCTTCCTTTCATGTTTTTTAAGCACCAATGGATTCAAACACTGCAAACTGTGACACACAAAGTGAATTTTCCAGCGAAGCCACCAATTTCCCATAAGCAGAAATACAGCAGTGCTATCAAATAAACTTCTTGGCCGGCTTTGAAAAACTTCAAGCCTTCCTCTATTCAGCGATGCACGAAACATGTTCCTGTCTTTCACAGTTTGTTTGAAATAAAAATTTTAAATCCGCTCCTTCCTTTTGAACTAGTCTCGTATTATGGCAGTACAGACATTTTCGCATTTAATTAATAGAAAAGAGTTTGACGTGTGTTCATTGAGTACACCTTACCTGTTCGGTCTCGACGAAGTTGGCGACATGTCCGTCGTCGTTGGTGCCCCGGACGTTGAATCGCGTGCCTGCCCGCTCGCAGCTGAGCCTCGAGATGAGGCACGCCTTGGCCTGCTGGCCTCCCAAGTAAATCGTGCGCATTTCCACGCCTCCGCAGACGGCGCGGAGAAGCCAGCGGGAACAGTCCACCCCATAGCGCAACAGGGGAATGTGCAGGGTACGGTTCCTGCAAAAGACCACGTGGAAAGACCAAGTCAAAAGACTTTCCTGAAGCCTTCCCATACAAGGTGGTGGCCAAACGTTTGCCAACCGGACATAGTACAGAATAGGAAAGCTGGATCGGAATCCTAGTAGTATACTATTAGCACATTAGCATATTTCTTAGTATATTGCAAAACATGTTTTAGACTTTGTTTTTTGTTTTTTTTGTACTTCTTCTAATGCAATACATTCCTAGGAATGTCCTTGAGGGCAATCAACTTGAACTTGGAATGCATCAGTTCGCTGCTAGCTAGCACGTCGTGTTCTGCAAAGATGAATGAATGCAGGCCTAGGAGACGTCTCTCCAAACGTTCTAAGAGGGCTTTAATAGTTTTCTACAACAATTTGTTTAGCCAGCGGGAACTCGGTCAGCACCAACGTGCGCCTGGTGTCTTTGCCGTAGATGAGAAATTTTGACGGTGCAGAACTGCTGCTGGCTTGGGGTGTTCAATGTGCGTTGTGCAGCAGTCGCACACGATCGCACGTCTGTATGACGCTCATCCAGATCGAAACGGGCAGAGGCGTGGATCGAACTCGGGACCTGAGAGTTCCGCAAAGCAAGCCTTTGCTCCGCGTGCTCTGGGCTGCGGCATGCTAAAACTCGTGGCCACCGATCGCGCAATTTAGCAGAACATTAGGCCTCTAAATTCTGAAAACGACAGCTTAGCCAGGTAACAGTCAAAATCAAATTTGGGGTTTTTATGTGCCCAAGCGACAAAGGGCATCAACACGCCCCAGCGGAAGACTCGGGATTAGTTCTGACCACCTGGAAATCATCTTTTAAATGCAGCCAAAAGCTTGGTTACATTGCAACTTCCTCGCAATAAGCTTTTGTCAGATTGCGGGCACCTTGACCGGGACTCAAACCCGCCACATGAGGGTCAGTAGGGCGCAGCGCTTTGCGTCGGAGCCACTGAGGTGACTGCATGGTGACGAATACACAGATACAAACTTCACCTCTGTCAAAACACGTTCTCTGTTAACAACAAAGAGAGAGCAAAGCAACAAAGGGGGCCACCTCACCAGAAGAAGCGGTTGTCGGTGTCGCTGGTCACGACCGCCCGCTGGGCGCACAGGGTGAGGTCCAGGGGCTGGCCAGTGCTGCCAGAGGGAGTCCAGACGAAGAAGAAAGTGCCCGCGTTGAGCACCTTGCGCACCTCCTGCACCTTCTCCAGGTCTTGGGCGTTGTTGCGCAGAGACACGAAGAGCGTGTCCGTGATGCGGAACACCTCCGAAGCGCCCAGCTTGCCCACCGACTGGCAGCCCGTGACGAGGACCAGCAGCTGCACCACGGCGTCGCCTGCGAAGCATTGTCGAGGGCCACCTGAGATGTCTTCCGCAAGTTTTGAGGCACAACTTGAATCGCGGTGCCAGAACCAGAATCTGCACCTTATACTAGTGTTAGCTTCGCCGCTTTTTAGGGACGAAGCTCCTTAGGGTCTAGCCTTGTCCGTCCAGCGTACGTGCTCACATTGATCTTGCTGGTGCTCGTGCTCGTGAGCTCACATGCTCCAGTAGGGAAAAAAACAAAACATTTACGAAAAAAAAAATGTTTGCGCAGTCGACAGGATTCGAACCAGTGCGGGGAGACCCCAATGGATTTCTAGTCCATCGCCATAACCACTCAGCCACAACTGTGGGATGAGTCGGGGGCTCCGAGACGTGGTAGTAACTCAAGAGCTGGGGATGTCATGGATGAAACGTTGCATGTAGCCGCTCAACGTCTATACAGGAGAGGGCGCCGCGGTCAAATGCGTATATAATCGCGTTACACTTTGCATGCATTACCTTAACGTTTATAGACGAGAGGGCCCTGCGGTCAAATGCTCAAATGTGTATATAACCACGTTCCATACCACACATTCTCTTTCTGACATAAATGAAAACGAACGAGAGTCTCGGCATGGTGCGGCTCACCGTCTACGCAGACAAGCACCACCAGAGCTTCGCCCCATCAACATCATTCACCACGTGGAGATGCGGCGAAACCATTGGAAATGTGCGACCCGTCCGGTGTTTCAAGGGGGACGCTACCACGAAATTGCAATTTTCTTTTGAAAGCCACATTTTTAAAAATCAGCTTGAAGAATTGCTGACAGATGCTGTCAGAGTGTTTCATACCTAAAGCGAAGTATTTTTTTCCGGAATGAATTATTTTCGGCATGGTGCCACCGTCTGAAGTGGAACCTGTTGAATTCTTTAACACGACATTTCACTTTTTGTGAGCTAAATCAATTAAATTTGGAGATTTGATGAGCCGAACCAACAAAGGGCATCTGGCATGCCCCAACGGAGGACCGAGAATTAATTTCGACATGCTACTGAAATCTTGGCACAAAAATGCTCAATAAGATGTTACATTGAAGCATGGGTGATTTAGTCCCAAGTTATTAATCTCTTAAAAGCATAATTGACACCGTTGGAAGTATGCGATCCCTTTCGTGGATTAGATTGTATGCCTTAATTATCTAGCCCCGAGGAGCATATTTCGTCATTGAATGGAGGCAAACGTAACAAACCTATGGCAAAGGTCATGTTACGTCAGTTATTTTTTCATATTTTCTACAACATCTTTTCAGTTGTAGCACCAAAGTGGCCCCAATCCACACATGCAAAAGTGAAAGACAGCAAAAACTGAATTGCCAATGTCACCTCCTCTCCAACTCTGTCCTATCTTCAACCTTGCCATTTGTCAATTCAGTTTTAGTGTACCTTCAATTTTAGTGCTTGTCAATGCAGCAGAGTATTAATCTTATGAAAACTATATTTACCACATTTTGCTGACTAATCTTTTCCTTTTGACTTACTTTCAGACCACCAGCCGACAATAAAATACAGAAGCGCGTAGTAACGCTGACTTCCTTTTTTAAGCAACACAGCTTTCCATTTAATACTATTTTTTTTTTCCAGCCTCGACATTACAAGAGGAACTCCGCATGATATGAAACAATGAACCAAAGTGCCCCATCCTCTTGTCAGACATGCAATCGAAACAGACAGATGTGCATTTTGCTATGTTTTATTGCCTCCTTCGTTTATCTTTAAACTTTTCCCTTCCATTGTCAGTGGGCAAACAGTTGACAATCTGCCAACATCTCTGCTCAAGCACTTGGCTCCCCTCTCTTTTCTTATAACTAGATTCGTCACTCGTCAGCTCGAAAGTTGCTCCAAGTCTAGTTGTCACTGTTAAAAAGGTGAAAATACTAACCAGATGTCAGCTGCAGAACACCCAAGCACCCATGAGCATCCAACAGCATGGTGTATTCCTTCTTGACTGTGTCCGTTTCTTGTTGTGCTAAAAAATTCATAATTGAACAGAGGCTTACAAACGTATTTCTAATGTTATAAAAACTAAATAGTGCTCATTAAAAAAACAATTAAAACTACATGAGCCCTTTAATAACAACACGCGAACTAATCAAGGCAATTTGAAAGCATCGTCAACCTCGCTCAAGCCGTTCCTCAGTTTATCGTGACCATAAGACAAAAGAGAAACACAAAAGAACAGAATTAACTAGTAGTTCTATTTTTAACGCGTCCCAAATCAGCCATCCGTAACCAACGAGAACGCTGGCAAAGCTCGACCGCGATGTCAAGACTTGTTCCAAAGTTGAAACTACGGGTGAACACAAGATGAAGTGTCAAAACCCGTGAAAGATTAAAAAATGTATATATCATTCGTTTTTGAACGGCGAAAACATATTTTCAGCGTCACAGATAGAGAATCGTAGAAGTTTTACGTCGAGCGGAGCCTTAGGACCAGACAAAAACAGCAGGTGACAATCACAATGGTACTTTAATAATCGTACCTACCACCAAGACAGTCCCCACATTTTGCACCAAGTCTACGCGACTACATGGCTAGTTACTGTGTTACAAACTCTTCCTTTACGCTCTGCGATCCCGGGAAAGACGAAGAACTCGCGACGACATCCACCAAAATGCTAAACAATAGAACAGACGGACGACAAAACCCCACCAACGCCAAAAGCTCTCCTATGCAAAAGAAGAGAACAAATTCCTGTCAAACTGTCGTAATCGTCCCAGTAGCTCGTACGTTATACATCGTGCGCGTTACGCTTCCCATTGATAAGCAGGATGAATGAATGGAAGCAGTGGCAAGGTCGGTTCTCAAAGAATTAAGTAGCGAACGATGGATCTTTTTTCGGAGGGACCACTTACACAAGACGGCCACGGCGCGGGACTCGAAGAGCAGGGTCTCATTTTTCGCTCTCTGTTCGAGCAGGACACTGTACGGATTCGGAGGTCTTACTTTGTGGTAGATCCTAAAGCTCTTGCCTAACGGCATCGTGCTAGCCGCAGCCTGTCACGGGGGAAATATCAGCGGACGAGCAGCTTGTTTTTATTTTCTTCTGCTTCACCGGACCATGGACGGCTTCGCCGCCGCTCGCCGTCTCCGCCGCTCTTTCGCGAGCGCAGCAGCAGCAGTCTCGCTCAATCTCGAGCGCCGCGAGACTTTACGAGAGTAAGTAAGGTACATAGTTGCCAGCTGCTTTTGATAGTTCGTCTGGATTTGTGAGTTGGAAGTAGAAGTTTGGCAACATTGCGTCAAATAACCAAACCGAAACCACTGTACTGAAACGTTTTTGCGCGATAATCTCTAGCGACGATGAAGAGTTGGTCAGAAACTGTGAGAAATCAGAGCATCTGATTTCTGACAGTTTTCATTAGTCTTGCATTGCTGCTCAGCTGTCTTTTTCCACAAAAGTTATGTTGCTGTGGTGTTTGTACGTTGGTGACATTGGATGGTATGTGTTATTCAGTTTTATTGTCCTTTGCACCTCCCGCTGTCTCTTTTTTTTTTTTTTTTTGTAATTCCCTGTGGGGCCTTAAAAAGTTAAATAAATAAGTCATTCAACAAAGTTGGATAGAAACATGATCGCAAAGGCGTTCAAGGTATCCTGTAGAAATAAATCTTCTCCGGACTTCTCACCAACAGCTGCCATGCGTCTACGAACAAAAAGAAAACCGCGGAAATGTCTAATAAAAAACCCTTTTCACACACACACACACGCTTTCTCACTTGCTCTCTCTCTCTCTCTCTTTCTCTTTCTCTCTTTTTTTTTTTTTTTTTTTTTTTGAGTAGCATCACGTGAGCATTTCCGAAGTAACTTTCTTTCTTGTCGGTGCTGCCATCTGTAACCTAAAGCGCCAAGCTCGTTTTCACGTTATTGGTTCGGTGCGCGGAGTTTGGCTCGTCGTTTTGGGCGCCCGAGTTCGTTTCACCGGGCGGTGTGTGCGTCGGACGTCGAAACACTTCGAGAAACTCGTGTTTTCCGTGGTTCTCCAAAGTTTTCGAAGCGGTGTACGACAGCATTTCGGCGATATCCTCACATGTGTTGCGCCGAAGACAATGCCTTTCGCTGGTTCCTGCTCGTACGACTTTACTACGGCAGCGACTTCGGGAGCAGTTTTGAGTACGTGATCTCCCTGCACTCGATGACCGTCAAGCACTTCGGTAAGTTTATTTGGCTTTCCTCTGCCTCTTCAACGAAACCTTTGAGCGAAGACGCTGTTTGTTCGAGTTCGGTTACCGATCTGCAGCTCCAACCCAACGTTTGCTGTTAGTAAAAAAAAATGAAAGAAAAAAAAAAGCGCCACAAGTGTTTATGAAGGGTTGTACATTCCCGTCGTTTGTTCTAAGACCGCGCGAACGTTGAGTAAAAATACAAGGTCTTCTCTTGGCATAAGTTTAATGGTTCACAATTTTGAATTGTTTACCCACCTGTTGTGGTACAAACAAACACGTGCGTATCATATTTTTTTTTTTATTAATTTGTTTTGCTGGGCAACTGTTGAGGGGTTCACATAAACCTTTTGAGACTTGTTTGACAGAGGCCATTATGATCCTGTGGGCCATTATGATCCTGTACTCTTCACAAGCTCCCGAAAGAAACAGATGATAATGTTCAAGTGTACCTGCGGTCTAGAGCCGTTATCGGGTTGATAAGTCATGTTTTTACGCCATCAGAGCCCTCGATATGTCAAAACGTGCTCTTCAGCACTGGCCCATTAAATGCGATTTGCTGCGGAAAGCGTAAATACTGAGGTTCTCACTTGAGATAGGTGTCCGCGGGCACCTTGGTTTTGTCTTTGTGTCCTTCAGTGTGAGACTTTGTTATTTTTAGTATTTTTTTTTTCTTACTCTATAGATGAAACGTTGAAAACATTTGTCCACCCCCTGCTTATGAAAGATTTAAACTCACCCTCACGTAGTAAAGAAACAGATTTTGTTTTGTTTTTACTTGCTTTTTGTAGAAGTGCAGAACGTTCGGAAAACTTATTTGAGAGACCTAGTAACGTAATTGTTTCGTGGATAACTTATCATTTTCGCAGTAGAAACAAATGTGGAGTGGAGAGGTGGAAGGGAAAGAAATGCATCGACTGCTGCACTCTAATAAACAAAACTCTTCTGGCTGCGGTGGCCAAGTTGCAAACGCACGTACGCCACAGGTATGAGAACAGCTGTCACTCACTCCAAACATTGAGGTGTCAAGTACAAACTTCAAAGAAACTAACAGCAACAAAATATCGGAGTGAGAAAAAAAAAAAAAAAAGAAAGAGGTGTTTGACAGCTTGTGGTGTTTGTTCAGGTACAACAACAGTAGTTCAGGCGTGTCCGTTGTTACGGCACAGTGGGCCTATCGGGATGAAAGGTCGGGTCATGGGACCGCAATCCACCAGTGGGAGACTTTTATGAGTCAGCGAGAATTTGATTGGTCGCTGGGGTACTGCATCAGTGTCCAGCTCAAGTTCGTCTGCTTCTTGCACAGGGGTTACGATGATGTCACAACGGTGAGCTCTTATTGGCTGATTCGAAAAAAAAAAATAGTGGGTAGACCTCAAGGCGTCTAGCATTGAAGTCTACCCACTATCCTTCCAATCGAAGCTAATCAGAGCTCGGCGTTGTTATAACGTCACCGCAACAGCTACGCAAGAAGCAGACGACTTGCTGTCTGCATAGGTGTTCCAATTTTCACCGAAAACGGCCAATCACCGAATATTTTTATGTGTGTGTGTGTGTGTGTGGGGGGGGGGGGGGGGGGGGGAGGGGGGGGCGCAGAGGGAGAGAGAGAAGGGGTTATAATAATAGTAATAATTTATTTGTATAAAATTATATAGTCTGGTCTTATAAATACAAAAGATGCAGAAATAATAGTAATAGTGAATAAAACACCAAAAACTCGAAAGTCCAATGGGTGTTCTTTTTCTTTCTTTTTTTAATCTTAATTGCATTCAACGTATATTGTTGACGGAAGCTGTGACACCGTCCATGGCATAACACTTTGTTTTTCCTGGGATATATGCTTAAGAAAGCTCAAATAACTTAAGTACATTTATTACTGATTCTGGCCTATCGCACAGGTTTGCTTCATTTCGTGCACCAATGGTTCTTTGTTCATTTTTTAGTCATTTATTCCCAGAAGTTATATCTAAGAGTTCTTCCCCATACAGCTGATGCGTGTGCCGAATTATTTTGCTGAAGTGTCTAAACACACACATGAAAATCGCGAAATAATTAATGAAATCTTAACGTCTTATTGTTTTTTTCTTATATCTTTCGCGTGCTTTATTGCGTTGTTGTGTGTGTTTATTTTCTTTTTTTTTTTTTTCGATTGCTGATTTTAGGAGATTTTGCAACCGTAAATTTATTTTGGTTGCTCTTTCCAGATCTTCTGTTCGAAAGCTTCGACAGCGTTCGCAACAAAAAAAAAACCTAACGTCAAAATCCTTTTCTTTTTTTTTTCTTTTTTTTTTTTACATATATTAGCCGTTTTTGCATTGCAGAGGAGTAGTCCTGGTGTTTGCGCTTTAATGCGAGCATACGACGTGACCAATGATTGGTTGTTTGTTTTTTCTTGCGTTTTTGCTAATTTCCATTGTTTAGCAGCTACTTCGCTCATTACGAAATCTCGGTCCATATTTCGCAACTTCCGGCACCGGTTGAAACAATGCAAGGAAACCGGTTGGGATCTTCAGCATAAGTATACACAACTTATAGCTGGTGCTCGTCTGCTAACGATCGCAGACGGCCATACCGGAAAGCGGCACGGATAATCACTTCGGTGCTAAAACTGGCGTATCTAATTACGTGAAATCGGATGCGTTTCTCAGCTGGAATTATACCTCTATAGGGCGAGCCGTCTTGTCAGCAGTTTTCATTCTTGCTGAATACACTTGTCAGCAACAGAGAAAACAATATTATATTTCTTGCTGACCAGTGTTTTTCATTGGTATTTCTTTATTTATTTATTTATTTATTTACTCTTGAGTTTAAGATATCCCCCAACAGCTAAACACCTTACGGGTGGTAAAATTCAAAACCAAACAAGCAATGCAAACACTACAATAATGAAAGTACAAAGACAGTACGTTGAATTGCAGAAGTTTTATGTCATTTCCGCTACCATTACGTTTTTTAAAATCGTTAAAAATCATAAAGACATCTTTTGTAGGTGACGTAAGGTTGTTGTACAAGTCCACCGTTATCGTGAGAGACGAGAGGTTTGAATTTCTAGGAACATTGAAAAGTTCATTATATCTCAAGAAGCGAGATGTAGTACACGAATGCTTATGTCTATTCGCAAGCATGGGCAAGCTACTCCGCGATCCGTTAGTGTCTGCAAAAATAACAAATTTCTAATATACCTTTTCTCTGCAAGTGGGATTATTTTCAATTTACGAAGTAGTCAGTTATGATCATAATCATATATTTTCTTGCCGAAATATCGGTCGTATACCAAACGAATAAAACGTCTGTGCAATCCTTCAATCCTATCTAATCTAGACAAAGTCAGTGAATTCCACGCGATTGATGCAAATTCTAATCTCGAGTGGACGAAACCGTTATACAGTACTATTACAGTTTTCGGGTTTTTAAAGTTCCGTGTAATCCATGCCAAGCATCCTCAATAATGAAGCAATTATACATCATTCACCTGTGCTTCCATTCGAAGGATGGAATAATTCACCGAGATCTCGAATTTCAGACTTTCGTTCTGTTTCACACATGTTCAGCGTGTAAGAATGCGTATATACTATACTTTTTGGGGGCTAGATGTAATGACGTTGGTTTTTTGTTAAATTTAACATTAGACAATGATTTGAGCACCGTATACTGACCGCATTAATATCTCTTTGCAATTTCCAGGGGTTTCAATTTGTGGAATATTTTTTACGTCGTCTGCATACTGCGGCATCCGAGAAAACTTTATACAGTCAAAAAGATAATTGGAAAAAAAAATTATGTATAAAAGGGTGCCAAGATTTGATCCCTGAGGCGTACCCCAGAAGTAGCGACGTATGTGGCAGACATGACTCCTTCAATACGATGCAAAGTTCTCGCGCCCCGACGAATACCTTCTGAACCGCCTTGTGTATATCTCTCGTTTACTCCATATTCAGACAACTTCACCAAGAGCAATTCATGATTGACCATATCGAAGGCTTT